GGACGATAGTTAGCCAATACATCTGGGTTCAAGGAAGGCTTCTTAAGAAGGGGCCTCACCACCGCCTCTTTAAGGGCCGTGGGAAAGGTACCCTCCCCCAAAGAAGCGTTGATAATTCCCTGAAGCCAGGCTCGTGTACCCTCCCGGGCCGCCAGTACCAGCCAGGAGGGGCACGGATCCAGCAAACATGTGGCTGCACCATGCTCAGGAATGGAAATTTTGATCCTGATTATAGTTGTAAGTCAAGTTGAAGTTGTTCTATAGCAGATTTGCAGTGCAAGTATTCCAGACAAACTCATTTTGTTTATTGACCAGTCAGTCTTGGTGAGCTATCTTTTAAAGTCTTGCTCTAAGGTTGTTGTCCTTAGACAGTATTTTTTGCTTTGGCTTTATATCATAGGAGTTTCCTCCCTTTGTTTTAAAACAGAAAGACGAAAATTACAGAAGCCTCCCACGGGACACCAGTACCTGGTCTTCTACTCAATTTCAGAGGGATAATGCTCGTTCTTCATTAAGTGCCACTCATCCCATGGTAGATAAATGGCTGGAGAGACAAGAACAGGTAACATATATCTGTTTAAGATAATCTAGTATAAAATATTAATTTTATATACCTTCATAAGCATATAGGCACACAGGTTTATCAAGAGGTAGGCAGTTTGGTAGACCTCCAGAACTTCTGAATTTTAGTTTCTATTAATGTCCTGTATAGTAGTTTCCATTAGTGTCCTGTACAGTACTTTGGCCAGTCCCAAAAGATGGTAGTGTTGGAGACCAAAACATTGAGAGAGTCAAATGTTGCCTATCCTTGCAAAAAAACAAACAAACTTCAAACTGTATTGGCTTCTGAACAACTGATAATGATCAGAAATATAGAGGTCTCTTAAAAAATAAGATATAATTTCAATTTACAGAAGCCAGTTTGGTCTGGTGGTTAAGGCACCAGACTAAAAAGCAGGAGACTGTGAGTTATAGTTCTGATTTAAGAATGAAAGCCAGCTTGGTAATTTTGGGCCAGCCACTCTGACTCAGCGCAAACCTCCTCATAGAGTTGTTGTAGTGGTGAGTATAGGAGAAGGAAGAAGAAATAAGCATGTTCATCACCTTGAGTTATTTATAAAAATAATAAAGGTGGGATAAATAAAATCTAAAAAAAAAGTCTTAACAATGACATTTCTATCTTCCTCATTTTGAAGATAGAAGCACAGAGTTCTAGAGTTCCAGTGTATGTTAATGAATCTGGATGAAAGTATATTGGAAAACAGTGTGCCAGTTCTAGAGATTTCAGTCTTGATCTTTGAGCCATGGTGGCACAGTAGTTAGAATGCAGTATTGCAGGCTAATTCTGCCAAATGCCAGCAGTTCAATCCTGACCGGCTCAAGATTGACTCATTTTACTAAAGTCAGTAAAATGAGGATGCAGGATGTTGGGGGTAAACTGCTTACCGAGGACTATAAAGCAATATGAAGCGGTATATGTCTAAATGCTATTGCTATTAAGTTTTGTATCTGTTATTATTGGTCAGTACTATTTCAGATGAAAAATCAAATATATAATGCACTCCCATTAAAAAATCTGTATACATTCACCTCATCGTAAATATGCAGGAAGATACATGAATTCTCCATCTACAGTTAAACTGTTCATCTGTAATACAAAGAACTTCAGTTCAGTTCAATGTCATGATGCTGTAGGCTTCTAGTGTGGAATAGAAAGTGAGGAGTTTATTATCAAGCTCTTCTTTAAAGAAACATTCACTGTTAATATGTTAATATGTCCTTTAATGAAGTTAGGTTACATGAAATGGAAAATCACAAATTGTGTTTTGTCCTTAATCTTTATGAAATATAATTTATATGGCAGACTAAATAATGAGCCCCAGTAATGTGGGCTATTATTTAGAATGTAGAAGGCTCACTTGTTGGCTGATTTTGCAGGATGTAAGCAAACTATTTATTTGACAAGCTAGCAAAAGCATTTAATGTGGCAGTTGAATTAGAGCTATTAATCTCATAATCTTGTTTTGATTCTGTAGAACATCATAGCCACACCCAACTTTAGTCTATACCAAGATGATAAACCTGGCAGCACATACACTGCACACTGGCTCTGATATTTACCTCATTTTTTCTCTCTTCCACTGGAAAAACATCAAACATGCAAAATCCTTTTAACATTTTTCTGTAGTTTGTTGACTTTGGATGGAAGTAAAACCCATATAGTATTTCTTAGTCTCATGTCAGTTGCTAAACTGAAGACTCTAAAGCTATTGTTATGGTTATTATTTTCTTTTTCTTTTGTCATTAAATTACATGTTTATTTTTGAAAGCAAGTTGAATCAGGAGTCTTACTGGTGACCTTCTAGCAAATGTATACCATTTGCATATTTGAATACATTGCAAATACAGTTATGCATTGTAGTGTTCTAACCCAAAATTTTAAATAAGATATTTATTTTCAAGAAAGTTAAATTACTATTGAGAAGTGATAAAATAAGTCAGAATTTCATTCAATAACTGAGTCCTTTTTCTCCTTAAGTATTTTTCTATGATAGTTTTAAAAAAAATCTATTATATTTGATGTTAATGAGTTTGCATGTACCTAGAAAGAAAAAATTCTTTGGTGATTTCATATCAGTGGGATAATTAATTAAACTGAAATTGTGTAACAGGGCATGAACAACGGAAACAATCCTTAATGAGAACAGAATGGAACAAAGTACTGTAGAGGGTGATGAGGTTTTGCACATGAAAAACATAACTGTGCTTAAAAATTCTGATTCTGAAGACCCTTTTTCTCTCTTTCTCCTTTTAAAGTAGAAACTATTCAGACATTTAATAATACTTATTTGCCATGCTTTGCTTAAAAGAAATTTGGATTATTAATTTGTTTATTCATTTATTTAAGTTCTATAACTGCCCATTTTAGCAAGTGACCGACCCTATGTGGGGTAATCATAATACATAAAAACCAGTTAAACAGCACAAAATAAATATATATGGCACCAAGTAAAATTGTTACTATGGAAGTTAATGTCAGGAAATGGAGTCTTTAACATATCTGGGGCCCTAGGCCCAGACACACAACCAAGTCTTCACTGCCTCGTGAAAGCCAATGGGGTCATAACCATCCTGATAGCTAAAGGCAGAATATTCAAGAGTCAGGAGCTACATCTGAGAAGGCATATCTCCTGGATGCCACCAGCTGAATTCCTTAACTGATGGGACCCACCATATGCCAAACCTGCTTGACTGAATTGGACTTTTTTCCATAATAAAATGGTTAAGCCATATTGGGTAATACTTCCACTGTAACATTCTACCTTCAGTTCACCTTTCCACACTATGAGTGGAATGTATAATTGAATAAATAAATCGGGAAAAGATTTCCAATAAATCTTTCATTTCAGAAAAGAGAATGAGATTTCTAATTAGAAGCCCAAGATTTTCTTCTGAATTATTCCTAGGTAGACTAAATCCCATAAGTAAAAAAATCATCTGAGGAAATCATTAGTTGGCAAAGTTGATTTCAAGACATGGTTGGATACAGACAATGTGCCACTTGATAGTCCTGATCTTTGAATATGATAAAGTGTTTCAAGAAATGGGGTTAATTGAGGAAGGCAATTCGTTCTGAAGAAGTTGGATTTAGCTCAGAACATAATGGTATCAGTAGCCTGAATCACTTGACTGACAATATGTTGGAAGTATTTTGCAGAAATGGGACCTTATGGACACCCATTCTCCATGATTACTTTAGTCCTTAGAAGTGAGAAGGGCCAGATATTTGTCATTGCATTCTTCCCTTCCCTTTTGAGTGAAAAGAAAACAACAACAACAACAGTTTGTCAGTAGATGAGTTTAAAAAAATACTGTAGTCAAAGGACAAAGGTCCTAGACATTCAGGCTTATGTGTTGCTGGTACATGGACACATTGTCTGACAGAAGGGATCATTCAGTCAGTTTGTTAGTGAATTGGGATTAATTTTTTTTGCCATATTGTACTGTTTACTATTTAACTTCTTCCCTACAATTTTAAGTTCAGCAGTTAATTTTCATTTGAGTTTTGTTACATTTATGTTGTACATCATTATTTTTATTGTCTGAATATTGCATTAGTACAACCAACTAAATGTTTAAAGACACAACAGCATCATCTTATTCATGTTTGTCAGAACTGAGTTCTATTAAGTTCAGTTCCTAGGGTTTAGTTTGGATTGAAGACACACACACACACACACACACAGAGGGAGAGGGAGGGAGGGAGGGAGAGAGAGAGAGAGAGAGAGAGAGAGAGACTCCCAGTGGATAACAGTGAAAATTTGGCTTTAGTGAAGAGTTGAGTGAATGTTGTTCAACAGTGCCCTTAATTACTATAGTGCCCAGCTAATGCATAAGTGAAATACATTAGTAGAATTAAAACTTTGTATTTTTATTCCCTTGCTAGGTAATACAGTTAATGAATATAGATCTGACCAAATTAAGATTATTTATTTTAATGCTTTACATCATTGTAAAACTTTTAGCATAGCATAGAACCTTCAAACTTAAATAGAAGCAATCCTCGCAGCCACTTCAAAGATTGTGAAGATTAAAAGTTTCAAGTGCATTAAAGCAATTCCCTTAATTGTGTCTGTAGAGGATATTATATCTTCTGCTATAGATTTCTTTGTTTACAATTCAAAGTATTAGCTAGAACCTGGTACTTAGTACCCTTTTGAACTTGGTACTTAGGGACATTTTCACTGCTGAACTACTCTATAAATAGTTCAGAATACTAGGCTCTAGAAGTGGCTAGTGCCTATCAGAGACATTTTCCATTCATCTTGTAATTTTTTTGATGAGCTACTTTTAATTTAAAAATGAAATGGATAAAATTCACTGATAGAGGGTAATAGGGTTTGTGTTGGGATTTGATGACTTACACGGTGCTAGAAAAGTTAAGCAAGAGTGGATATCAATTATCAATTGGTTATAGTAATTAGAATTCAGAGATTTGTAGTTGATATATCTAAGAATGGTGAAGAGGAGGAGGAGGAGGAGGAGGAAAAGGCCAACAAGTTACTATCTTGTATTTTCCTCAGAGGCATCTGTTTAATCAGTGTTGGGGACAATATATTGAATTGGGAGCCCTTTCATTCAGCTTCCACTCTGTGAAGAGATAATCACACCCTTGTGGATTTTCTAGATGTTTGCAGATCTTTACTGCTTCATATTATCAGAGCTCTGTCGGGAATTGTGCAGCAGATGTCCAAATGAAGTCAGAGATGCTGACATGAACATAGTTTTATATAAATAATATATTTATATCTATATACACATCCAGTGCTTTTTTTGTAAAAAAAAAAAAAAAGTGCCGGAACTCACACACGTCCTACAACCCGCCTTACCTACCTTACAAGGTTTCATCCAAAAAATGGTGCCGGAACTCCGTTGAGAAAAACTCCATGACAAAAAAAGTCCTGTATACATCAAACAGGATAGTCAGGCAAACAGGAGCATCATGAGGTAAATCACAGAGCACACAGGGCATATAGAAGAAAAAGGCGGGGGAAAAAGGGA